CTCTCTCTCTCTCTCTCTCTCTCTCTCTCTCTCTCTCTCTCTTTTGTCAATCGCTTCTGCCACGGCACAGGGATGTATTTCATGAATAGAAATTAGCAATAAAAAGATGGCATGAAAAGAGATGAGGATAGAAGCGTCGAGGTGTAAACTTCTAGATTTCAACGTGGGCGATGTTGTGATAGCACGGCGGTTGGGTAATGTTCGGTATCTCGGAGAACCGCAAGGAAAACGGCAGAAGAGATTTTGAAGCTTCATATATATAAAGTGGCGACTTTAGATTATGTTTTGGAAATCCATGCAAAGTTTATCGCTACCATTCTACTTATCGAATTTGCTATAAATATAATGGTAGCAATAAACATTGGATCTGGATTTTGTCCTGTATATATTTCCGGCTGCAGCAAATCTGAATCAGCATTTATTTTATGATTATTTATCCAAATAAAAATTAGAAGTTTTTATTTATATATAGAAGAGAATGAGGAAATTGCGAACACATGGGGTAACGCAAATGATACTGTTGCAATATATTAGAGTACTTAGCATTAACTTCTCATTTCTCGCATATGCAGTAATAATCCGATATTGTTATTGCCACTATTTCAAGATGACGCTTTAATGACGCTCTTATTGACATTAAAGATGTCATTAAAATATTATTAAAACGTCACTTAACATCATCTTACTTCGGATACGTGACTGTAGAACGTATATACTGTTTAACGTAAATATTTATACATTTTCGATACTTTTTATGTAAGGAAGAGTGAGGAAACTACGAATATTTGAAGGAAAAGTTAAATAAAGTCGACAATTATTTATCAATTATATTAGAAGTTATTCAAAGATTTATTCGAAGATTATTTGGTTTAAATTACAATAATTAATATTTATATACTATTATTAGGCCTGTTCGCATTGCTTGAAATCTCAAAACATTTTTGCATTTAAAATGAGATAAATATATATTTGGTTAAAGAGAGAGCAAGCGAAGATGCTGAGTATAGAAAGTGCAAGCAACAGATCTAATATGAATTATAGGTATAAAATAAAACTCATTTATATTACCTCTGCGTGTGGCGCGTAATTTCGAATGACAAAGATTTTGTTTTTTGTTTTTTTTATTTATATTAATAATATATGAGTGGTAATCTTCTGCCAGCAACGCGAACTTTTTATAAAGGCACTGTCGATATTTTGATTTTTGGTGAATTCTAGTAGATAAATTTAAATCTGTAAAAAATAAGTAAAATATAATCCGATTTTCATGATGATAAAAAATCGTTGGTAAAGCTTTGACAAATACGCCAGAATTTTTTCAGATTTTAATCCGAAACAGTAAAAAAAAGTTGCTCTGTTTTCTAAGATCCTTATTGCTGACGGAAAAGTTAAAATTCCATATTGTCGGCAGAGGACAATTAATTATTACAGTTTAAAGCCAAATAACTGGAGTATCTCCTTTAAACAAAGACTTCTACAATGGATGCTAAATAATCGTCTGTTTTATTTAACTTTTCCCTTAGGTGTGTCGCAATTCTCTCAGTCACTCTTATGCAAACAACGAGTGATGTAAACAACAAAATGTATAACAAGATGAGATGTATATTTTTCTTTAGCCGCGTTATAGCCCTTTTCGGACACAAAATCTTAAGACGACACGATTATCGAGTAACTTGAATAATTACGTAATAAGAGTACGGATTTATGCCCGTTTCTATCAATAGATTAACTTTAATCTCGTTCAACTTACTCTTTACCTTTTTCTAATTAGAACTAGAAAAGATGAAGAATTAGTTGAACCGAGATTAAAATTAAACTGTATTGGTAGAAACGAGCATAAATGTTATGCTCCTTTGATGTACAATTTAAACATGATACAAAGGCAGTCACGCAAGGTAGTTGAAATGGCAATAAAATGAATGAATGAAGGTGGAAAGCGAGTGAGATCGTAGGTCGCGGTTATCAGCTCGACAAACCTACTATTATAACATATGCGGCGTGTGCCCCAAT